CAGAATAATACCACCAACTAAAGAGGAATGCAAATCCCAGCAATACATTATACAACAATACATTATACAGCAATGCAGAATACCGCCAGCTATAGAGGACTACAAAGCCCAGCAATACATTATCCAGCAATGCAGAATGCCACCAACTTCAGAGGACTACAAATTCCAGCAATACATTATACAGCAATGCAGAATAATACCATCAGCTATAGAGGACTACAACTCCCAGCAATACATTATACAACAATGCAGAACACCATCAGCTATAGAGGACTACAAATCCCAGCAATACATTATACAGCAATGCAGAATAGTATATGAATTTGCTTCATACTCTGTGCTGCCGCTCTGCTCCAGGCTGCTGGCCTGATGTCTCAGGCGCAGGGTCTCTCAGCTGGGGAAGATGCGGAGGGTCTCTCAGCAGGGGCTGATGCACAGGGTCTCAGTAGAGGCAGATGCAGAAGATCCCAGCAGGGGCAGATGCAGAAGCTCTCAGCAGATGCAGAGGGTCTCAGTAGAGGCAGATGCAGAAGGTCTCAGCAGGGGCAGATGCAGAAGGTCTCAGCAGGGGCAGATGCAGAGGATCGCAGCAGGGCAGATGCGGAGGATCAGCAGGGGCAGATGCGGAGGATCGGCAGGGGCAGATGCAGAGGATCAGTAGGGCAGATGTGGAGGATCAGTATGTGCAGATGTGGAGGATCAGCAGTGATATTTGGGGGTGTACACAGACAGTGCTGGGGCTTGTAGTTCCCTTAGTGATTTTTGGGGGTGTACAGGGGCAGTGCTGGGACTTGTAGTTCCCTTAGCAATATTTGGGGATGTACGGGGACAGTGCTGGGACTTGTCATTCCCTTAGTGATATTTGGGGGATGTCCAGGGACAGTGCTGGCACTTGTAGTTCCCTTAGTTATATTTGGGGGGTGTACAGGGGCAGTGCTAGCACTTGCAGTTTCCTAAATGATATTGGGCTACCCAATCGATGGTCAATGAGGGCATGCTAAGACTTGTAGTTGCCTGAGTGATAGAATAGAAGTTAACTTGAAAGTCACCTCACCTAACACTGTCACCTCCTGGCAGCTCTAGTCTTCTCACGCAGCACACAGCAGAAAGCATGGTCAGAGGAAGCTCAAGGGAGGCTGCAAAAAAACACAATGGGGCAGTGGAGACTGGGAAATCACAGCCCAGCCAGAGGAGGATCTCTCACTAATTGGTCGGCTGCCTGCTGGGTCCTCATGGCCGAGGCCTCATCGAGGCGGCATAAGCTACCTACTGCTCCGCTTAATTGTGTTTGCTGCCTGGCCAGCCCAGCTCGCTCATCACTGCCCAGCGGCCAGCGCCCCCCCCCCATCTCTGCACCCAGGGCAGCCGCACCGTCGGCGTCCACGATTGTTATGCCATTGACCCCTTCGTTCCTGGTCCTGACTGTGCCCCAAGCCACATAGCGACTGCCTAGGTCGCTAAGGCGGTATTTCCACCACTGAGTCTATCACAGAAGTAAGCTTGAAGTGGTGGGTATTTTGCAACACACAGGGGCCATGGGGAACAAAAGTAGCCACCCTCAAGAAGGAAGGACAGTGTCAGCACCAATTCAGAGATGATTTGAGGATCTACAGCCAAGTGATACACAAATAAGATACATTTTTGTTAATAGTTCAGGTATTTGAATACATTTTTAAGATTGAACTCCTGTTACTTTAAAGAAGAGTCTAGTAAGTACTACCATAAATTATAAGCAAAAGTAGGGACATGCTTTTATATTTTTAGGCATGTTTTGATCTTTAAATTTTAAAACGTTATGCGGTTGTGGAATTTTTATACCCATATTAGTGATTGTTCACCTGGAATACACCTGGTCAACAGTCCACTGCCCAGAGTGCACAGCAAAAGTTACTCCCTTGATTTGCAGAACCAAATAAAAATTGCAGCACTTCAAATTAGAGTAGTCACTAGTATACAATGCTTGCCACTTTATGGAATTTTGATAGAGATAAAATCACAGCCAGTGGTGCAATTTAGCCAGTACTGCTATGACTGAATGAAATGCATCTGTGGCTGTGATTTTATCTACATGAATCTTCAATAAAGGTTTATGCTTTGTGAGTGTTTTCCACATTTCTTGCTAATGCATTTTTTACTTTAAGGAAAAGAGAACACAGGGAACATGATGCAAGCATCTTTTGATTTTGTAAGTACAAACTAGGTCAGGAATTTTTCTGATAAAAAGACACTTTGTTAAAGCGAAGTGATGTGAACTTCTTCAACTAAAAAAATAATAATTTGATCTTCTGTGTGCTTTAGTTCATCATGATATAGAGAATGTGAATTGTCTGCTAATATAATATAGGGCATGTAATAAATAAATATGTATACCTTTGGCTTGCAAAATGAACACACCTAGGGGTTCACTGGGCAGATGCCGTTCGCATGGAACTGGGGCCCCTAGATAGCAGTGACAAGTATAGAAATTCCTATACTCATCAGCTCATCATAACTTTTGAAATGAAACCCCAAGAAGCAGAAGCATTTGATCACATTCATTGTGATCCTGTGTCCGTTTTTTTTTTTCTACCACGCAGGAGACAATTTTTTGTAAAAGAATCAGATCACACATTACCAATATTTCAGTTGAAGGTGAATGCTGGTGGACTGAATTATCCTTGTTGAAATAGATAAAAATCCATCAGGAAGCCTAAGACACTCGTGTAATGACCATGGAAATAGTTGTGCCATCATCAGCCTTGGTTAGATTAGCTTCTTAAACAAACCTGCCATTAAAGAATATGGCTATCCTCCTTCTTAAAATACTAGTTGCAGAGTTGTTATGTTGCCCCACTGGGTCAAACCCAACCCAAACCCAGCATGCATATCAGGAAAGTAAAAGAAAATTCCTCACCTGCATACTTATATCAGATGAGTGACTCGAAGGTATAAGGGTCAACATAACAGCCAGACATGTAGCAATTTCAGAGCAACGGCAGTCCCATGTTTCCTTCAGACAAGTTTTCTTTAAAGTAAAGCTGTCAGTACCATTAATGCATAAAACAGACTGTAAGAAGAAAATGCCAAATCTTTAGGTAACCAGTGTACCAGCCTGGTTTTGACACTTCCCGATGTGTCAAATGCTGAATCGTTGACTCCCACCCCTTCCTATTGATCAGTAATGCTGCTCTTCATAGCTATGGCCCAACAGGAATGGGCTGGCCTAGATTATACTGTCACGGCTTCTTCAGTAACTCAAGGGTAATGACTTTACTTTACTTCAAGTGTATTTACATTTTATTTATTTTGCAATGATCCCTTTTGGATAGCTAAACAGAATCTTAGTACTACAGTCATCAGACCTTTTGTTCACCCAGAACTAGTCTTTCATTTATTCTCTTATTGATTTTGAGGCATAAAGCACTATAAGTCACCTGGACTTTACAGGCATGCATAGCAGCTGCAGAGAAAATGAAGGGCTCCTTCTCTGTCTGATAGTCTTTACATTATGCAGTGGTAATTTGAATACATGATGTAGTGGGAGGAGTGCAACTCCATGGTGGGTACGAACAGACCTAGGAAACACAGAAGGGAGATCTCACTGTTAGGATCCCCAAGAGAAATGCTATGCCTGTAACAAAATGATCACTTTTTTTAAGTTCATTGACTAATTTATCCATAGGACCTGCTCTGCAGCAAGCCTAGCAAAAGTAGGAAAGTGTAGGACAGGTTGCTTTGCAATTTAGCATGTTTCCACTTGGCACATATAAACCTCAGTTGTATTTAATTAAATTATTTAGGGACAATTTTGAAATATCATAGCTAATCTGCATGTATTTATGGTTTCTGATCTTATTAGTAACCTTTTTTTGCCCTTCGTTTGCAAATGATGTTCCAGTTCATCTCAAATAAAGGCCAGATCCCAATGTATTTCTCATTAATTCATACCAGTCTTGAAGGTCAATGGATTTTTGTGCTGTTCTCTCTCTCTTCCCCAAGTGAGATGGGCAAAGCTGAACTTTCCCCTTTTAACGTTTGAAAGCTTACTCAACTTTTTGACATTAATCTTTTCATAGCCAGAGGACTAAGAAACAATTTATTTTACAAGCCTTTCAAGGAGTGACGAGGTGAAGCCAGCATATTGAAAATGCTCACAAAAGCTATTATACATGAATAAGATTAACCCTTGGTCTGAATTAAGTACCAACCAACTACCCAGGTATATATGTACACTAAAGCACGACACTTCAAAGCATGGCATTTATTAAAATTTTCAATTATCAATGCAAATATTAGAATAAGTTATAGGCAAGCATTATAATGTACTATGTATTAAAGAAAGCCTACAAGTTACAAACAGTTAATAAGTTTGAAGGATATAGTCAATAATTATTAAGAGTGCATATGTTATTCCTAGTAAAGAAAAATCATACAAATGAAAATGTAGGGAAGCTCCTAGCACTGTCTTGCATCAGCAAATTATTGGGATTTATCAGCAGAATTGGTTCTTAATATGTTGGCACTTGCAGCGATATAAAACTTGCATAATTTAGAACTGATTCCATCCTATGGTTTTTTTTTTATCGTTGTTTTATATCGTTCGTCCTGATTGATGGCTCTGGGCAACTGCTCCACCTTTGCTATAATTTTCATAAATTAATATGACTGTATATCATTGGAAAGAACTTACATGTTTATAGCCACCAAATTAAGAAAGGAAACTGTGGGGCAGATTTCTAAAAACTGTATCAACTAATATATAAAAATGATGCCCCTAGCAGCAAGTAAGCTTCCACTTGCCATATCGTCCAGCAGAGGTTAGATATAATGAACTGACTGATTGCTAAGGACAAAAGTCTTTTTTTTTCCTTAATACAACAGTTTCAAGTGACATGCATGTTTTTAAACATTATTGTATTTTTGGAGACATATACAAAATCTAGTCTGTTGATAATTCTCATTAAAAAAAAGATTTGTCAGAAATCATGAGAATTAGCAGTAATATCCGACTGGTTAAATTGACAATTATACTGAAGATTATGTCGTTTATCAGCAGACGTCTGTTAGCAAATAATTGCAGTGCTAAGCTTCAACTTACAAAATTACCAGGAAGGTCTAAGTACCTGTTTCTCCACATGTAATTATAATTTGGGTCATACATGATTTATAATAAACAAAAGTGTTCTTGCAGCAACTTGGCATTCAGCATATTGGTGTATCGTCAGTGTGTTATGCAGTTTGCCTGAGCTGTTATCCCTGCCTGTTGTCCTATTGGTGATCAGTCATGCTTGCTGCGCGCATGTCCAGCTCCATCGCAAGGCACTGTGTTTGGCCAGAACTATCAAAAAAGGAAACAGGAGACCCATGACCCTAGACATGCTGATCTGCAACAACACACTTTCAAAAGGAGACCGCCAGACATAAGCACCTGTATTGTTTTTTGAAAAGGCTTAGATCAGTCATGCAGTGCAAAAACATTCTTGTATAGTGTGAATATGTGCATTATTATTAGGTTTTAGACAATGGTCTCTTGGTCCCAGCTCACTTCTGTTGGTTTTACATAACAGCAATACCTGTTATAAGAATTGTCCCCTCCTTGAGGATAGGCATCTGCATCACTGTCTCTGGGATCTAGAGTAACTTTCTCCTCTGTAGCAGTGTATATTATTCGGTCCGCAGTAATCTTTTTATCAAAAACTGAGCATGTGTTATGGTTCTCTACTCCTCCAGGTAATGTGTTTGTAGAATAGCATTGATCCAGGCACTTAAGCCCGTCGTCTCCATCTCCCTTCATAGCAAGCGTCCTGGAATCCCCTATTGTGGTGATTTTGTTAGATTCACAGTCCTCGTCTTTTTCCTTTGGTTTAGCTTTTTTGTCCAGCTCATTCGAGCTCCCTTTGCCAGACTCCATATCTGACGGGGTCTTCAGAAGTTCTACGTCCTCCTTGTCTTTTCCCTTCTTACAGCAGCAGGTACACTGTTTATAAGGCCATTTTGTACAACCATCTGTCCTCCTTGCCAGAGTTATAGCTGCCACTCCGGGTAGAAAAATGGCTGGCCCTATTGCAAGCAGTGGGATGGATCCCAATGTCTCCCCTTTAAATCCAGAAACAGTAAACATAAAACCAAATACAAGAAATATGCTCACCAAAGCCACCACCAGTCCAGTACGTGGGTTGATATCATCCGGTCTCATGTCTTTACACCATCAGAATGTACTTTTTGACCGGCAGCGCATCAGCAGCTCCTCTTGGTTGGAGATGAGCAAACCACAGCGTTTTCCAAAAACATTAATAAAACAAAAGGCACCAATCCTTAAGTACAGGGCAAACTCTTTTCTTAATAACTCCAAAAATAACACCAGACTGGAGATGTTTCTGACCCTGACATTCTTTGTTAATAAAATCCAAAGATGTTTGTAACTCTTTTAGGTGGATTATTCACTTGTGAAAGCATTTCTCCTGAAGCAGATTCGATGCGCGCACAAAAGTCCACAGAGAGCCTGATGCTGTGTTTCGGATGCCAGCACACTGAGATCCTGCATGTGCTCAAACTGCTTGAATGGAAACTGAGACAGTCATCTCTTAATGCAAGAGTATGTGAGAAGCGGGAGGGGAATAGAGAAGGAGCAGAGGAGTGGACTTTAAATACTAGAAAGACAAAGCACTTAGGAACCTCCTGCCTTAATATTCTGAAACCAGATAAGCAAATTCCTGTTCTCGAGATCCTTCAGCACTATTCAAATAAAGGCAATATTTACAGCATCCTTTTAACATAAATGACAATTGGTGGGTGTTTAGCAAAATGAACTGTAAGGATAACAAGAAAAAGCAGGGGACAGTTCACAATGGCTGTGTGACTCAAATAAACCACAGTCATAATATGCTTTCCTCTAAATGTATTAAATATATGAAATAACGCCCAAAAATCAGTGATGTTGATAAATGAATACATTTTGCATATGTTAAAGCACTGTACTAATCGTCATTCTGTCATAAGAGTGCTGCTGCAAGACTTAGGCTATAATAGTGTTAATTCTTTGTTTGTCAGACGACTATATAGACCTTTATAAAATGATAGTAACTGGTTGTGCTTTTCTTTCTTTGGAAACATGAGCTGCCCTGCGTGAACTCATTTAGCCACAGGAGTTCATTGTCTCTGCCATCTGAAGTCTGTCTGGGGGGGAGGGAAGACAAAGGCTGTACACAGGTATGTTGATGGCCGCAATCAATTTTTCACTCCCTGTGAGCTACAATATTTAGGCCATCCTCCAAACAACTGCTTAACTCCAAAAAGAGCTAGACTGAAGCACATATAATGTATTTCTGGTGGCTAAATGTATGATGGGTTTTAGGAGATCAGATTGTATATCCTGATTTTACTTGACTCCTCTGAGAGGTTATCATAACAGTATTGTGACTAGTGTCAATTTATTACCTTTTTTTGTTCAGCTTAATCCTTCAGTAAAATATATATGGTTGCTACAAATTTGTCAAACTAAACAGCAATCAGTGTACATAGGCAGTTTTTTTGCACTAGACTGGTGTAAAGGGGCAACATAATGTATAAATCTGGCTAAACGCGGAACTAATTTCTGCTAAATTGGTCGAAATTTAATGCACGGGTGGTCCTGCCGGAGCAACACAGTCTGACAAAAGTCATTTTTTTAATTAGTATTTTTTAAATTAATTGTGTGGGGCAGGCAAAATAAGACAGACTCCAAGAAAGTGTATTGTATAAGACAGCATGAGACCCTTTGAATAAGATAGAACTATGCCTTGACCAGGATGCAGTGACATAACTGCAAAGGGTAAGGGAATAAGCCCAGGTTTTCATCTGATAATGGCAGGGGAGCCCATGGTATTAAAAAAGGGTAAGGAAAAAGACTTAAAAAAAAGGTGGGAGGTTGGGGTGGAGGGGAAGGAAGGGAAAGTAGAAGAGGGAAGGTAGGGAAGTGGAAAGAAAGAGAGGGGATGGGAAGAATAAGAAAAGTTGGAGGAGAAAAGTGAAGAAATGGCAACAGAAACAAGAACACCAAGTGATGTGCCCTGTAAAAGGTTACGAGTTCCCAAATCAATGGCATAATAAGCATGACAATATCTCAATCCAGGGGGGGGGAAAAGTAGTTTTTTTAACAGTTAGAACCTAAATGCAATAATTCTGCAAGATGAATGATCAATACAACTGCAAACAAGTGGATATTAAATGTCCACAATGCAGGTGACATATCCGTACTTGAATTAGCTACTTAGTGCAGCTTAAACTGGCCATATACCAGTAGAATTTTGTGAGAATAAAGTTTGTTTTTGTTGGAATTTCCCGTACTTAACAGGGTAAAATCAACTATCTATTTCAACTGTAATGACAAAAAAAAACATAGTAGCAGCATGGAAAATGTTTCTTGATTGAATGAAATTCTAACAGTGAATGTGTTTTTTGTTTGGGGAAACGCCACTCATTTCCTAAATCAGCTGTTAAAATCAAATAAAATTTCAAACAACATTCATCAAGTCTCTGATGGCTTTATCAAATGTTCTGACAAAATGTTTCATAGGAACATATGTATGAAAATCTCACAGGGTATGACTGGCTTTATGGAGAGTCTAAAAGATTGATCTACCGTTCTATCATTTCAGGTTTGCCATAAGATATCCCTAATGTCCAGCATCGTGCATACACTTCACCTAAGTTTTATTTGCTGGAAGGACACTTTCACCCTCAGTGCCATATGCGCTACAAAAGCTCAGAAAGAAAACCAGATCCATCACATAAAAGATTGAACAGTAGCAGTCCTTCCACCTCTGCCGCATTATATCTACACCATGTGGGCAATGTCTGGTAAGCAATGACACCCGGTCTTCCATCATCTTCCTTAAATTCACAAAGAAGGTTTTTTCCTGAGGGTTGTCCCATTGTGGCAGGTACCGGTTTCTAAATGGAAAGACTGGGTCTGTTGGTGGATGCCAACCTACAACTGCTAATTCACTGTTTATCAAGGACACAAAATCCATTTTGACACTGGGGAATGCCCACAACGGGGGACCCCTCTACCCCCCCGCACCCAGACAAGTGCTCCCATACCTGAGATCTGTCCCCCCCTGGGAACCATGGACTGGACCTCACCCCCACAGGGCCCTGTGGGAGAGGACTCACTGGGCTCCTGGAGTTCAGACGTACCCCTACGATCTGGCCAAGCTGCACAAACAGGGCCATTGCAACCAGGGGGTCCGCACCCACAGCTGACTGCCACGTTGAGAGACTAAAGCAGACTTAGCAACCCTGATCCCCACTAAAGCGGATTTCGAGGCTTTCACTCAGCGTATCGAAACAGCTTATTAGCAAGATATTGCGGAAGTGAAAGTCAAGGAGATAGTCCCGTTTAGATTGTACATATGAATCGCCGAGGTACCGAATCTCCACTCTTGCCTGGTTGTTTGCATCGCGTCCCCGCTGCGTGGATACGGAGTGAGTACTCTCTATGGTGTAATGTGCTTATATTTCCTGTCGACTCTTTGAGAGCACATATCACAGTAATCCCTAGCTACAGACCGATCTCCCTTCTGAATGTGGATCTAAAGCTCTTCACTAAAATCCTGGCCACTAGACTGGCTACTCACATCCACACAGTAGTACACCCGGATCAAGCGGGCTTTGTCCCGTCCCGTGAAGCCCGGGACAACACTACCCGAGTTCTGGGTGTCCTCAGTTCGGCCCATGCCAGGAAGACCCCACTACTGCTGCTATCTACAGACGCCGAAAAGGCATTTGACCGGGTGAGCTGGCCGTTCATGACGCAAGTTCTGCGTCACCTGGGATTGGGTAAACGTATGTTGACCTGGATTGGAGCCCAACCGCCCAGATTGCATAATACTCTCCTTTCTTTGTGTCTACAAAATGTTTGAAATTTCAAAAATAAAGAATTTGAAAAAAAAAATCCATTTTGGGCTCTTTGTCCACTTTACAGTGGAAGGAAAATGGCACGCCCCTCTGGACATCTGTGCCCTTTATACTTTGATACCTCGTTATTTGTCCCTTATGGCACTGGAGTGTATCAGACAGTTAATATCATCCCTATTGTTGTCAGTGGAGCTTTTATTGACCCACAATTATTTTTTGTTTGATGGGTTTTTTTATCTGCAGAAATGCAGAGCACCCTCACTCGATAAACTCTGAATGGAATGGTGTGAGGAGCTCTGCATTTTTGCAGATAGGAACCCCTTTTACAGCTGTATTTTTTGGTTTGAACATTATATTGATGATCTGCTGCTGGTATGGAAGGGTACCTCAGATTAGCTGGGGTCTTTTCATGTATATCCTTAACAGCAATTATCTTAATCTTCATTTTTCTGGGAACTGGGATCCAACTAGTGTCAGTTTCTTGGATCTTTACAGAGAGCATTACAGAGAGATGTTATGTCTTCTACTTTCGCAAACCAGTGTCTGACAACTCAATTTTAATGAGTTGTCTACCACACCACACTATTGAGGCAATTCCGAGAGAGGAGTTTGATATTGATTAAGCAGTTGCTCTACTTCGGGGCTTTTCCATAAGGAGGCAGATATTTAATCCCACCTGAAAATGAGGGGTTACCCACCTTGGCCTATTGAGAAGGAGAAGCAAAAAGCTATGCAGAGATTGAGATCATATTTATTATCTAATGGTATTCCCAACAATTACAGTCATAACTCTGACAATGTTGCAGTGCATGGGAAAATAATACTCCTATTTTTGTGACTACCTACTCGAGGGAGTATACTAAGATTGTATGTGGAATGTATGTGGATAGTAAGATCTATGATGTTTTATTGAAAGGGCGTAGGTTTGTCAGCTGCAGAGAACCAACATTAGGTTCTATTTTGTCTCCTTCCTTGTTTTTTGAACTCTCATATATCCAGTAAAGGTAGGATCTGGTTGTCAATACAGGGTTTATACAAATGTGGTGTTTCCACTTTGGTACTGCGGGGTTCACAAAAATTGAAAAATATGGACAGTGTTGGGGGAAACTTTTCCGATCAATTGTTTCATGAACTGTGCTACAAAAAATGTGGTTTATGCTCTACAATGTAATAAATTTAATATTCAGTAGGTAGGCTGTGGTATTAGACATTAGAGTGCAAAATATACTCTTTCCAATACTTAGAGCCAGCATGAGACTCTGCAGGTGTCATTCTCAGACTCTATATACCTCTGATCGTTCAGCTCTCTTCAGAGAGCAGTGACTGTCAGATACCGCCCCGCAGTCATAGGTGGATCTCGTTAATATTGCTGTGACCCTTCCTGGCTGAAGTGTAGCTCTGGGCTGTTGGGATATAGTGGGCAATAACAGATTAAATGCTGACGTTGGGTTCCAGGAGTACATTAAATGTACTCCTGTGACCAAACAGGAAAGTAAAGCCAAAAAAAGGTTTGTCAGAGGACTTTTGAGTGCTGGGATCATTCCTTTTGTAACCGATGACACCAATTACTTCAATGAGGAGGAGAGGAGGCAACAGCTTTCAACATGTTGTTTGAAAGAGGAAAGGCAAATATATGAAACTATAATGCCTCA